AATAGAGAAAGCAGAACAATTCAAATTGATTATTAAAAAAAAAAGGATTAAAAGGTGTTTTCTGTAATCATAAATAATTATTATAGATATAAAAAAAAAAAAAAAAAAAAAAAAAAAACATAAATATATGTGTATTCCAAATCCTCGTTCCAGTGTCATCGGTTAAAACACCTTTCCTTAATTCATCTTTTTACTCTCCCTTTTACGGGTTCGAGCTACTTCTCTATTAATACTTTCTCACACTTATTCAATACTATCAGAGAGGTCGCGTCTTGTTTCGCCTGTCTGGAGTCAACAGCATACGATTTTTGTCTTTTGTTTTTTCCGGACGGTCACTCATCCATATTATTAATCGTGCCTACGTGGTTTAAATATGTTCATGCCAGGAACTAGTAATTCAACGTGACTGGACCACTCACCTGTCCTTAATTGTTCAATTGTTGTTAATCATAATATTCATTAAAAATTATTCACAGGATAACTTTGACGCAAAATTATTTTAATTATATTAACTTACGTACAATCGAATTAAACGATACTCGTTAATTATTAATATGAGTAAAAATGGTTGAAAAAGTCAATCTTAAGTGACTTATATATATAATAAAAAGGATAAAAATTTACTGAAATTTCTAAGATGTTAGAGGATTGTTACTTCTTCGAGTAACAATATCGATTGTGCTACACGATAGGTTGAAGAAGAAGAAGAAAAAGAACAAGAAAAAGAAGAATATGAATATAAGTACACACAAGCAGCACATCGCGTAGCAACGCCGAAAAAAAAACGTAGAATTAAATATAAACAAGAAGAGAGGGAAACGAAAAAAGAAAAAAAAAATAGAATAAATAGTTTGTTGTTCGACGAAACGACCAACTACGAGGCAATTCGCGAAGGACGAGAAAACAACAAGTTAAGCTAACCAAACACGAACACACGGATGCAGAAAATCGTTTAGAAACCATCGTCCGTTGTTTTTCTCGTTTTTGCCCTTGCTTATAGTTAGGACAATAAAGAATATAAATCTATACGAATATTTACATATATGAGAATAAACATATTATAATAATATAATATAAATATATAAAATATTTATTAAATGTAGTAATCGCGAAAATATTTTTCGTTTGATGAACATCAACGGTAATGAACACGTATCATTTGAATTATTTTTACTGCTAACTAAGATAAATATATATTTTATTTCAATATTTTTATGTGCTTTACTTTATACTTTATACAAGACATTGATACTAATGCAATGTTGTTTTGGATGGCTATAGTTACGGAATTACTTTGTGTACAAAGTGATTTTCTGACATTTAAAGGTCATCGAAAATTCTTGATATAATTCTATGTAAAGAGGTTAATATTGATTATATATCTTTTCTTACTTAAAATGGGTAAATTGATAATATAAATACTTTTAATAGTATAATTATTCAAATATGTTAGTAGTTATTATAATAAATAATAACTGAGAGAATAATATATATATACTATTATTAATACGGCATTGATAATTAATAATTACAGATAATTATTATTACAATTATAGCTATTGAATCAGACATAAAAGGAACCGACCTAGTGGTCCAATGGTTTTGAAGTACCAACATCATAAAGAAAAATTGATAGTATTAAAAAGGACCAAAAAATTTGTTATACGAGCATTTCCCTCAAAAGCTAAAAAAGTTTTACAAAAAGCGTCATTTTTTATTTTTCATTTATTTATTAATTTTTCATATTAATTATATTGTATAATTTTAACAAAAATTTAAAATAAAAAATTATAGAAATACTGAAAATCAAACTAATTTAGATAATGGGAGGGGGGATACATACTTTTGAGTCAGCCCTGTATTAAGCTTATACAACAACTGTCTCTTCAAATTTTACATCGAACAATAATAATTTCCACATCATGATATTTATAAATAACGTTTGTCTTCTTCTACGAATGAAGAGGGAGACAAGAAAGGGAAAAAAAGAAAAGTAAATGGCGACTCGATATTTCAATTCAGTTCGACAATGACTTCCAGAGAAACGGAGATCGTAAAGAACGAACGAACGAACGAACGGTATTGACGTTAAAAAAAAGTCGAAGAAAAGGGCCCAATAGGAGACTGGATAATTTCAAGGGGCAATGAACCCCGTCGACGATTAAAGGACTGGGGCTCCCTCGTGTAACCACTCCCCGCTCTTTCTTCTACTACCTATCCAACTACTACCACTAAAATCGTAAGTGCTATGAACAACATATCTACTGGGTGTCGAATGTGTATTGACTATAAAAAAAAGTATTCTCAAGAAATTCAATCATTAAAATTAGCGAATAATATGTAAATTCATAAAAAAAAGAAAAATTTAAGTATCATTATAGATCTTAACCAAACAACATATTTGTATACATAAAAACATATTACATCATTGTTAACACGAAAAATACTTAATGCCGATATTTGTACTTTTGTTTATTTGAAATAAATAAATAATGAAAAATGTAAGTTTGCTAGCCTCATTAAGAACCTAGCGAAAAATCAATTTACCCGTGAAAGTTTTTTTTTTATCAAAAGGAGACACCCGGTAGATGAGAGAAAGAAAGGGATTTACTTACTAGGGGTTGAACAAAAAAAAAAGAGTAGGAGAAAAGGGAGGAGAAAAAAAGAACGAATGAAAGAGAAGTAGAAGGGAAGGAATTACGCAGTGGTTAGTCCTATATAGCAGTGTTTTCCAAACTTTCATTATTCGTATCCTCAATTTAAACATTTTAACAATCCTGGCTTATCCTTTCTTAGAAAAAAAAACCATGTAAAACAAATCTTAATTAAAGTTATCCGAGAAAAAATACTATTAATTATTAAAATACTTATTGTTATAAAGAATTAAGGGAGGAGGCCCCATTCTAGCATTCGGAAAAATAACCTATTTTGGAAAATTTTTTATAATCTTTTTTATTTATGTCTTTATGTATATATAAATTGCAAGCAAATCGGTTATAAACTGTGGTCATAAATTTGCTATATGAAACTTTAAACGCTTATATCTTAAAACTGTTTTTGTTGCCGGCAAGTTCATGAAATTTATACAGGAGTTATATAATTACAATATCTATCAAAGTACAGAGGGATTTTACAGAGGGATAAATAATCGTTTGTAGAATTGAGAAATATGTAGGTTTTTCTCTATGTCAAAAAAATTGGAGCAGAAATCTTACCGACAGGGAACACTATTTCAACTCTAAATTCAAATTAATAATTAATAAGCTTTATTTCTCCACCGATATATCAACTTTTGTATTATCCTTATAAAAACTGTTGCCATGCGCGCACCTACTCTCATACCTCATACCTCGATATTGATATCAAAAAGATTTGTTAAGAATAAATTATTGAAAAAGAGATCGAGAATGAAATTAAGTGTAATTATAACGAAGAATTGAAGATAATAAAAATGATTCCCACACCGAATTTCTATAATATGATGAGATAGGCATCGGATTTTCTGTAGATTCTATATAACCGTGCCCGTATACTGGTAACGTGGCTCATTCGGAATTTACATGCCACCCAAAGTCAGATAACATGGCGGACAATTTGAAAAAAAGGGCTTATGCATACAACATGAGGGTGAACTACTGATTGAGAGACACTGTTATATAGGGTGTTGCATGTACAGAGAAACGAGTATGTATACACAGCTGCTACGACATACATATATATGTATATCAGCCGGCGGCACGAGCCACCAAGGTATATTTTAATTCCCTCTTCCTTTCTTTTTCTATCCTTCTACATCGCCGTTGCAACTTCCCTTCAGCCTCTTCTACAGTCGTCGACCACCCCCTTCTTTTCCCCAACCCGCGACCCACCTCGATCGCTCTTCACTGCCTCGACAACGTATACGACCGTCAGCTGTCCTTAGGGTCCCTCCATACAGAACTCGCATAAATATATGGATGCACGCATACAACCGAATCGAAGTAGTCACTACCACACTTTAATAACCACCCCAAACGAGCTGTCCACGGCGTCCTAGGGGTAATAGATAGATAGATTCTATTATGTTCTCAGAATAATAACGATTCCCATGGTTTTCGAAGGTTCTCAAGCTAAGCGAGCTTAGTTAATTTGAATTAAATGCAAAACGTTTTTAAAATTATACTTGACAAAATTTTATTTGTACCATTTTTGTCACCCGATAACGAGTACTTTCTTTTAGATAAGATTGAGAACCACTGTAAGACGGGGCAACTACCTATAGAACAACATACGGCAAAATGAAAAGCGGTAAAGAGCAAAAACGATATAAAAGAGTTGTATTGTACTTGCTCGATGGGCAGTTTCTTCTGTTTTTTTTCTTTTCTCTCTCTCTTTTTTCTTTTCTTCTTCTTCTTTCTTCTTTTCTTTCTCGTTGAAAGGATTAAATCACTCAAATGTAGACGACATAATTATCTAAACTATCTCGAATGTAGATTGTTTAACGAGTAACATTGTAATTTTCGTTCGCAATGATAATTATAAATACATAAGAAGGAAAAAAAGAACAAGAAATCATTCAAATCAATCGTTCGTTGCCACAGAATAAATCATGAATGTTCAATTCGCGTTTATCAGGATAAAGTTGAAAATAAATGGACAATGATATAATAGAATATATAAGATTATAAAAAGTATGAAAGGATCGGCCAAAAAATGTAATCAGAATTCTGCAACCTACGATCATCGATGTCTGATAATATTCGTTCGGAAAACATAGGA